TCAGGGGATCCTATCATAAGGGGAATTATCACTCTTGAGAACTGCAGACTTGGTGATGAACCATTATCTGGGGGTGAAGAGTAAAGTACCTGAGTGGTGAGGACAACCGATGCTAAAGCACCCTGATTTCACCTCACACCACCCATTGGAATTGAACCGCGGCTCCTGTCGCTCCCAGCCAGCATATAGCTAGAGGCCCTACCCATGCTGGCTGGCAGTTGGATGGAAGTTATCCTCCAATGACTCAATGGAGAGCATCAAAGTTGAGGGGGAAAAATGCCGCCTTAACAGCTCCAGAAAGCCAAAGAGGGTGAGGTTCATCCTGAATTTACTTGTGCTTTTCAACAGGGTGTCCTTGGGACCATCAAGAGTGGCAAATCAGCCCTGGTTCACCGCTACTTGACTGGTTCCTACTTGGGCCTCGAACCTGCAGAAGGTGAGCTCCCTCCCTCCTTCTCCCCAAACTGAAGCGTCTTCTCTGTGGCCGAGCCTTCTTTCGGTCCCTTGGGATTTTTCTTTTCCTCAAAAAGCTGAAACACTGGAAAGCCCAAAGGGACAGAAGGGGTGCGTGAATGGAGAAAAATAATTTATTGTATTTAGATACGTAATGTACAAAGTTAGAGAAAGCCTGCAGGACTTCTGGAATCTTTCAAATAAATAAAATAATTCATAGCAGCAGAACTCTGGGTCACATAACTAGGAGGGAGGAGGGTTTGGAATAGTTCCATAGAGATAGATGGTCCCAGGGTTTTTTGTTTTCCCTCCACATCTTTTGCCTGATCCTGGCCCCATTTTTAACTTAATCTTTCTTTTGCTGACTTTCCCCCTTTGTTCAGGTTTGGTTCCATTCTGTTCTTTTGGAGAAAGTATTTCTGTTGACAGGCAGGCAGGCATATAGAGTTCTGAACCTCTTTACATGGTTACCTCCAAATATTTCATTAGATTGGAAAGAATAAAAAGGGTGATAGCCAACTTCCTTTCCACCCTCAGCCATAATCGCTCAGAGGGGGACTTGGGATAATTTATATCAGCCCATCCTTTCCTGTTTGAGGAGCTGGGAGGGAGGGGAGAGCGGGATTGAGGAGGCAGCTATACGCACCTTGCCTTGAGCTCTCAAAGGAAAAAGGTGATATAAATCTAATAAATGGATCCACACATAAATATTTTGCCTTCTATTTTTTTCAGGGGGCCAGTTCAAGAAAGAGGTGGTGGTGGATGGGCAGAGTCATCTGTTGCTGATTCGAGAGGAAGCTGGGCCACCAGATGCTAAGGTACGACTCTCTCACCGGCCCAAAACTTGCAGTAGGCTGAGACCTAGAGCACATTAGCAATTTCTGAACAGTTGCACTGTAGTTGACCCTGCTTTAAATGGCAGGATTTGGTTTATGGAAGAAGCTTATTTGGCTATAGCAATAGCACTTAGATCAGGCTTGTCAAACTCAATTTTATTGCGGGCCTCATCAGGGCTGTGGTTGACCTCAGGGGGTGGGGTGGGGTGGCTGGCTGACTGGATGGGTGTGGCCAACTGGGTGGGTGCGGCCATCTTGACACCACTCCCCAAACTGCTGGCATGTTTCCTCTTTGCATTGGGTAAACCAGACTGAAGCCATGCTGGCCCAATATTTTGCATTGGGTAGACCGGGCCAAAGCGATGTGGGCCAACCTCTTACATTTTCCAGGACAGCCCCACAGGCCTGATCCAGCCCATGGGCCTTGTGTTGGACACCCCTGACTTAGACTTATATATTGCTTCATAGTGTTTTTACAGCCCCCTCTAAGCGGTTTATAGAGTCAGCCTATTGCCCTCAACAATGTGGGTTCTCATTTGATCGATCTCGGAAGGATGGAAGGCTGAGTCAACCTTGAGCCTGGTGAGATTCGAACTGCCAAATTGCAGGCAGCCGGCAGTCAGCAGAAGTAGCCTGCAGTACTCTCAGTGGCAGATTAAGGCTCACTGGTGCTGACAAATGTTGGGGCACCCCTCCTTCGTACATCCTGTACAAATGAAGCCATATTCTCAATTTTGTGGCGCCCCCTTTGAGCCTGGTGTCCTGAGCACGTGCTTAGTCTGCTTAATAGTTAATACACCACTGTGAACTCTAACCACTGCACCACCACAGCTCTAGCAATGTTTCCCCTCATCCAGGGACCAAGGAATTGTAATCCTGAAGAGGGAAAACATTTAGTTTGAAGTTTACACCTATGCTGACCGGGTTAGAATTGGCATACTTAGCCCTGGGTTTGTCCCATGAGCTCTTTCTTGAATCAAATGTGCTCCTTTAGCTGGCTGGTTAACACAATCTTCCCCGTGTACCGCAACTTGCAGTGCCTAAGCTATCATCCCCTGTGGAAGGGGAAGGCTCTTTTCAATCCAAATTGTCATGGAGGAACACAGCTGTTGCATGCAGGAGGGTCACAGCTGCAGAAATAGATGGATGATCTGTCTTATGTGGGCTGCTTCACCTTATCTTTAAAAAGTTCTCCCCCATTCCAGCACTTATATTTTTTTAAAAAAAACACACTGAGAAGTTTTTATATTTTTTTTATAAAAGGAATTTTCAGTACTACTTATGATACACATTTCACTTGCAAATTTGAACGAAATACAAGTAGTTCTCGACTTACAACAGTTCACTGAGTGACCGTTCAAAGTTAGGAAACAGCAGGAAAAAAAATGACTGACAGGTTTTCACACTTAGGACCGTTGCAGCATCCCCGTGGTCACGTGATCAAAATTTGAGCATTTGGCATCTATTTATGAAAGTTGTACTGTCCCGGGGTGATGTGATCACCGTTTGTGACCTTCCCAGCCAGTTTCTGAGAAGCAAAGGCCATGAGGGAAGCCAGTTTTCCTTCATGACTGCATGATTCACTTAACAACTGCAGTGTTTTGCTTAATGACTTGTGGCCAAAAAAAGGTTGTAAAATGGGTCTTGCTGAGCCAGATAAAATTTTGGACTTAATTTTGTTCGTAAGTCAAGGACTACCTGTACTTACTAATCCGGGAGTCACAGTGTAGTGCTGTGGACACCATAGAATCTGTTAAGTCTTACGATGAACCCACAGCCTCCCTGAATTCTTAGATTATTTATAATCAATTCCAAACAATTACAATGGCCAAAAATCTCACAAAATCTTTACGTCTTCTGGGATAGGTGATGGAACCTGAATCTGAAAAGATTGTTGTCTCCTGTCAGTGATGTGACTACTCACACTTCCTATTCGAGGCCAGCGCTATTCTCAGAGAACGAAGAAGCCACCTTAGGAAATCACTGCTGGGATATAGCAAGGTCTTAAAAGGATAGCATTGCCTTAACCAGAAGCAAATGTCTTGGTACCCTCCAGATGTTTTAGACTACAAGTCTCACAATACTTTGCCATGACTCATACTGGCTGAGATTGATAGACACTGGAATCTGTCACATCTGGAGTTTGCTTACTGCTGCCCTCAATTAATTTCTCTTGAGATATCTCCACTCTGCATGCATGGAGACCTCTAGACGTACCGCTATTTGAATTTTTCCTCCCTTCAAAAAAAGGAAAAATGTGGAATGATTTACAGATCTCCACACATGACCTTTCTGTGTTTTTTCCAACATCTTCAGGTCACAGAAATTATTCCCTTCCCTCCACCTCCAAATAAAACCTAGAGTTATTCATCATGAGGCACAGTGACTGAAAATTGGCTGTGTTCAAGTAAACCCCCTTTTTGCCCCTAGTCTCTCATGGAAGCCCATCAATTGCTTGCAGAATTCTGGGTTTTCAAAACATACACTTTGGAAAACTCTGGTCTACAACGTAGTTTTATCTTCTCTTTACCAAAGCATTTCGGTGGGATAATCTGGAGGTGTTGGGGGCCATTGGCTGAAGTGTCTGGTACAGGAGGACAGGCACATTCACTCCTCCACCTTTACAGCTCAGACTTTCAGCCCAGTAACTGTCTGCCTGTGTGTTTCAGGCAGCTGTTCTTTTTCTCAGCTTGCTTACGATGGTCTGGGAAAGACTCGAATTATTCATAGATGGAAGAATCTGGAAATTACAGCCCACTTGAAATCCTGGCAGTTCTAATGAAAAGGCTAGCCCATGTTTAGCTTGCATTGAAAACAAGCTCTTCCCATTGCGAGAGAAATTCTGCGAATCCAACCAGACTTGATGGGAGCAGCCATGTCTGTCATTCAGTTGTCTGGCTCATTCATGTAAAAAGAAAAGATGATAGAAGTGTGTCTGGTTTTCTTTCCAAAGGAGAGTGTGGGTGAGGGGAGCTCATTTATCACCCCAAACTTTATTAATCAGCCAGGCTAGGAGCAAAGTATCTTGAGCATGTAAGGAGGGAAGGAAAAGAAAAGTTTCAAACCTCTTAACACACACACACACTCCCTTATAATTTAAAATTGGATATCTCCCTTCTAGCTCATGGATAAACAAGCATGTCAGTATATACAATCAGTGTCATTTAACTCCCTGTGGCACTAATTGTGGGAATCAAGAAATAAAAGTTTCAGAAACAAAAGAAATAGCCAGTTTGCTCCTAGCGGTTAAGGCACTAGGCTAGAAAACAGGAGACGGTGAGTTCTAGTCCTGCCTTAGCGGGGACTAAGGTGGCTGGTAGAGTAAGGAAGCTGGGAGACTTTGAGCCAGTCATTCTCTCTCAGTCCAATTCACCTCACAGGGTTGTTATTATGAGGAAAATAGGAAGAGCAAGAGGTAGTAGGTATGTTCACTGCCTTGAGTTGTTCATAAAAATAATAAAGGCAGAATTAAAATAAATAAATGTTTGGCTTGGTGTAAAGTTCTCAAATCTTTAATAATCTGTCTGTTTGGGGAGAGTTTGGACCCAGTATCAGTCCCGCATTCCCAGACCTATTCTGAGTGTGGAATAAAGGCAGTCTAAACGGAACTGCCTGGTACTGATCTTTCCCACTTGTTTTTCTTCTCCCTTACAGTTTGCCAATTGGGCAGATGCCGTCATCTTTGTTTTCAGTCTGGAGAACGAGGCCAGTTTCCAAGAGCTGACTCAGTTCTACGGGCTCCTCACCAACTACCGTGCAGTTTCCGACATGGCTCTTGCCCTTGTGGGCACTCAGGGTGAGTGGGGGGGGGGCTCTCTTCAGGGAGTGCACTCTTAAGGGCTACCGAAGATGTTGACATGAGGGGAGCATAGCAGGGCCCTAAGACCTACTGAGGGTTGTTTAAATAAGTCAGAGTCAAATCTCCAGGTAGAGAGATTCTGTGGCCTTGGTCTTCCCCTTTATTCATTACTAAGTCAATTGTTTGCCCTTTGGCTCTTCACTTGATTGTTTGGGTTCCAAAAAAGAGTGGATGATTTTTCCATCCATTCAACACTTACATTTATGGAAGAGCTATGGAATTCTGATCTGCATGAAGAGCAGTGAAAATGGATACAAATGCTACCTGGAATCAATGCAAACTATTTATATTAGTAAATATAAATAATAATATATATACATACATGTATCTGTATACACACACACACACACACACACACACACACACACACACACACACATATATATATATATATATATATATATATATATATATATATATATATTTATAAAATGTAATAAATTGTATCAATATAAAATTATACATATACATATATATGTGTGTATATCTATACATACATACATACATACATACATACATACATACATACATACATATTTGCAGGTCTTGGCGTGTTTGGATCTTTTCCCATGTAAGATGAAGAGTATCTTGGCGATGTTTCGACAAGGTCCCACTGGCCATCTTCAGGCTGGTGCTTTCAGCTTCGTTCTTGTGCGAGCAACAAGCATGAAGCCAAAAGCACCAGCCTGAAGATGGCGAGTGAGACCTCGTCGAAACATCACCAAGATACTCTCAACCTTACACGGGAAAAGACTCGAACACGCCAAGACCTGCATACCTGTACCCATGAAAATCTACAAAAACAAATTTATATTTATATACGTTATATTTTATAATATATTGATTATAATTAAAATATAAAAATAAAGTAAAAAGATAGGGCAAGAGATTGAGTAATATTAGCATGGAAAATGAAAGCATCCTTCATTCACATAATGAACTTGATGTGTAGCTGAGCTTCACTGAATGAGTCATTAAACACTCTGCAGTGCTCTGTTTGCATTGCTGGTTCACAATTGGCATCGTTCACCCTTTCCTGGAGAGGCACAGAAAGTCTTCTGATAGGGTCCCCCAGAATGATGAAGCTGCTCTCCAGCGTTATTTGAATATCCTTTTCTTAATTAATCGATTTACAGTTCTATTTAAAAAGACTCTGAAATATGTGCCGTACAATTGAAATTCTGTGCTCTCAGATATTTTCATATATATTCTTAAATTATACGATAGTTTCCACTTGTGCTAATTATGGATAGCTCTGTACTGCAAAGCGTCTTCACTTGTACGTGATCACTGGAAATCCGTGTGCAGTTTATGAGGTTCTATTAAGTGGTTGATCTACAATCCACTCATAAAAAGAAGCGATCTACTTCCATTTCCTGAATACGAGTATAATAATAACATACTGTATGTAGATTCCTGACTGTTCTGTAGTGGGATTAGAGACCTCACTTTGATCTATTTAGCATTCAGGACATCTGCACCTACTTAACAATGACCCAGTGCCCTAGTATTTTCCAGACACTGAAGTGGGTTTGGTGATGCCTTGACTTGGATGCCTTCCAAAGAAGCCAGTATGGTCCTTCAAGGCAGATTGCATAGAAACAAAATTAAGTCCAAGCAGGTTTATTATTTCTAGGTCACACATCCACCTGTGCCAAAGTGCTGCTGACAAGTTCGAAAACTCAGAGCAGGGATGGGCCAGCAGATATGTGTCTCACTCATGCAAAGCAAAAGTATGCTGTCCTTTTTACTGGTTCTAGGGTAGCCTTAGGTATACATATTTTAAATGCTTACAGCATGAGAAATAATGCAAGAATGGAATGTGTCTTCGTTTGAACGAAGTCAATGCGGCTTGGGGGTTACTAAAGCAGAGAAATAATTTTTATCGCACATTCTGCAAGACCGTTTGAAGAAACCTCTGTTGATTACGCTGCATTTCTTTCCACCTGAAACACGGAGAGGGCATTATTTTTTATTTATTTATTTTCCATTCAGACAAAATCAGTGCCAGCAATCCACGTGTGATTGAAGATTCCCGAGCCCGGACTTTATGTACAGAAATGCGCCGTTGCCTCTACTATGAAACCTGTGCCACTTATGGGCTGAATGTTGATCGGGTCTTCAGTGAAGGTGAATATCTACCTAGAATGTATTCTGAGTCGGTAGAAGAGAGGGAGGCCAGGCTGTATGTCATGGCAATGAAAACAGGGGTGTGTGAAAAGAAACATTCTTCCCAGCATATAAACTTTGCAAGTAGTATGGCAAGTAGAATGTATATTTAATATTTTACTCTAGATATGATAGGTTCCTATTGTCTGCTGCAGAAATGAGAAATCATATTAGCAAGGCACACATCCGTTGTGTCATCCGTTAGCTTAAGTTTGCATGATGGGTTTCTGATGTCCCTTCCCTCCCCCCCAAAAAGGTATGCTTAATTTGTTGTTTCTCACCATTCTGAGCATGGGAAAAGTTCAACACACATGATACAACTAGACTGTGAGAGTGTGAACCTGACCTGGAGCTGCTCCTTCTCTTCTTGTGCTGAGTTCTCACTCTTATCAGCCCCCTGAGAATTATCACTTTCAACAACCAAAGGCAAAGAAAGGGAGGGCTTGTGGAGGAGTTCAACATTTTCAGAGGAAATGCTTTGTGTCGTGAAATATTGAGGCAAGATGCTAACGCTGGACATGCAGGGCCTTCAGACTGACAGTTGTAGAGATAAGAGACTGGGGATAAGTTACCGGGGGTTTCATTCCTTCTAATGGTTGTTCTGCTGTTTTCTGAGTGCTTTTGGTTTCAAAATGTCTATAAAGCGCTAGAACAATCAGCTTGGTATTGTAAAGCAGTGGCCCCCAACCTTTTGGGCACCAGGGACCGGTTCTGTAGAGAGAGATTTTCCTGCGGCCTGGAGTGGGGCGGGCGTGGTTTAGTGTGCTGCCTGAATCCCGCAGATGGGGCTTCTCTTGATTGCACGACCCAATTTCTGGCATGCCGCATTCCGGTACCAGTCCATAGATTGGGGGTTGAGAACCCCTGTTGTAAAGGATGTGAGAGTTGCATATTTATGGTTCAACCCAGGATTGCAGGGAAGAGCATCTTCAGAATGTGTCTTATGTGAGTGAGGCTAAACACGCTGTGTCTTATTTTAACCTGATCATTATCTTCCCATCAGGGACTTTTCACAGAAAGACACATATGATCCGTCCCGTGCATATGACTATGTTCTCACATATGTCCCTCTAGTACAAGATCACAACACATTGAAGTGATAATTGCTGGATGGGTTCACAGTGAGTGGGTGGAGTATCAAAAATGTGTTCAGTTTGTGACCTGGTCCTTAAGGAGGGGGGTGGGGAACAATAATGGATTGGACGGAATCTCAATTCTCTTACGACAGATCTCTCCATTGCTCTTGGATGGGGCACTTGGAAAGCCTCCAACCACCATTTGACTTTCCTACCCCCTCTCTCCCTCCCCATTCCAGTTGCCCAGAAGATTGTGAACTTGAAGAAACAACAGCAGCTGCTTGCCTCCTGCAAATCTTTGCCCAGCACACCCAGCCATTCGGCCGTTTCTACACCGGTGGGTGGCATCTACTTTGTACAAACATAGGCCGTATTTTTTCTTTTTCTTTTCAGGAATCATGTTTCTTTGGAAAGGGTGTAAATGTCCCAGGTTCTTAGCATCTTAGAAGGAAGAAGCTGGCTTGTTGTAAAGACAGTGGGTTCTCTTCTCAGAGGTTTAAATCACTTCCATGTGGGGCCTGTGCAAAAGGTGGAAAGGGGTCCAAAGGTTAGAGAAATGTCTGCCTATAGTGCAATTGCCACACCAGCCCAGTTGCTCGGGCAAAATAATGAAATAATTTGGAGTGGAGCATTGTGGCTTTGCAACAGACAGATTGCATGTGGACTACAAAGAATTTGGATCAGGTGATATAGCTACTCACATGTGGGAAATATCCTTAAAAGTTAGCTGCCATAATACCAATTAGGTAAAATTTGAACCAGAGATGCTGAATGAATTTTTAAAAAATTAAAGATTAAAAAAAATGTAAATCAATTTTGGGATGAATGTAAAAATATTTAAAACAAACAAAATCAAAAATCAAAACTGATATCTTGCAGTTCATGGATCATCCCATGGAAATCCTTCTTTAAATTGTCTGTCTGGCAGATGGGAAGAATAACAGAGTTAACAAAGGTTGTAGTGTTGATCAAGGGTTGTTCTAGGGTAAATCTGTGCAATATGTAGAGATGTGAAGGCTTGAAGGAAAATAGAAGTAGGAGAAAAAATGCTGGGTTTTTTTTTTTCCTTCAAGAGGAGTGAATGAAAGGAAGATGAAAAAGTGCAGGAGTATTTTCCCTTTAACCTTCAAGTTTTGCTTTTGGCTTGTTGGAGGTGTATTGCATCTCTAGCTTTATATCACCATTTGAAGAACCCAACTAAAAGAGAGAGAAACTCCCATGGAGATTTGTACAGCCAAAGATACCCAGAGATGGAAGACCAAAGAAGAAAAATAATGCCTTAAATAGCTTCCCTTTCCCCAAACAAGCTGGAATGGGCCTAACTTGCCCTGATCCTGTGCAAGGTCAAAGACAGTCATATTTATTATGAATACACTATTAAAGTAGACATCATTTTCCATTCATATATTGTTGTTAATATTATTATAAGGCTGCCTGTCAAACACTTAAGGCTATTAAACTATTAAACTATTAAAACCACAATATAAGAGTAAAGAATAGCCCAACCAGCAGTTTCTAGGCAAAGTTAATGTGACAGTCCCTGGCTTTTAGATATTTGCCTTTGGTTCAGTGGCCATTCTATAAGAGCAGATGCCTTGGTCTGCCTTTTCTCCCATGGGGCAAGGATAGCCTATTTCTGGGCTCCATGGGCTCCAGAGCAACAGGCAGGAACCACCTCCAAAACATTAGTCTGAGGACATGAAGGAATAACAAAAATGATAATGATGGCAGGAAATGCTTGATTACATGCATTTAATGCATATATTCTTGGGTTCAGGCAGCAGACAGAACGGCTGAAAATATTTTGGGAAGCAGCTCTACCTTTTTGAGACATGATCATACCAACAGAGTTTTGGCAAATGACAGATGAAATGTGAAAATACTATACAGGCAGTCCTCGACTTGCAACAGATCATTTTGTGGAGCATTCAAAGTTACAACGGCACTGAAAAAAGGGACTTACAACCATTTTTCACAGTTACAACCTTTGTAGCATTCCCCCATGGTCATGTGATCAAAATTCAGATGCTTGGCAGCTGGTTCTTATTTATGACCGTTGCTATGTCCCAAGGTCATTTAACCCCCTTTTGCGACCTTCTGACAAGCAAAATCAAGGGGAAGCCCGATTCACTTAATGACCGGGTTACTAACTTATCAATGGCAGGGATTCCCTTAAGAACTGTGGCAAGAAAAGTCATAAAATGGGGCAAAACTCACTTAACAGATATCTCACTTAACAACAGACATTTGGGACTCCATTGGGGTCGTAAGTCAAGGACTACCTGCATTGCACTAGGACTATTGTACCTTATGACTATTATTAAGTGTGGTACCTGATGACTCTTGACGAATGTGTATCTTTCTTTTATGTACACTGAGAGCATTTGCACCAAGACAAATTCCTTGTGTGTCCAATCACACTTGGCCAATAAAGAATTCTACTAGGTTACATTTGATGATTACCTGAGAGCGAATGCTCATGGATATTCAAAACAAAGTCGAACTACGTGTGAACACCTAGCAATCAGGATGGTCACTTTCATACGGGTGCTCTCCTCCTTCCCTTAGGCAGTTAGTCTTTCTGGATTCTTTTCTAGGCGAGTAATGGTGGCCATACAAGCGACTACTCTTCATCCCTTCCTTCCACACCCAACATCAGTCATCGGGAGCTGCGCAGTGAGGCTTCAGCTATAATTGGCACCCCCAGCTCCTTGCAACGTGGGACCAAACGCCGGACCAGCCTGTTCACTGTGAGTTTCTCCCAGAAGCCCATCAGAACAGAAGAATAAGGAGAGAAAGCCAAGGGCTGGATGGATGATCTTAGTCAGGTCAAACAAGACACGGCCATGATAAGATTCCAACTGTTCATTGATTTATCCAGGGTGAAGAAAAGCTGCTTTCCTCTCCTAGTCATTTAGATCTCTGCCTGCGTTCTTGTAGATGGCAGTTTCCAATCCTGATAGCTCTTTTTCTTGATTCTCTGTTCTCCCAACCCTCTTTTCAAAGATGATCTAATGATAGACAAGCTCGGCAGCTGAGTTCTCACAACAAAGTCAGTTACAAACATGCTAAGGTTGACCTGTCTTAATTTTGGTAAGATTTGTAGATTATTGTACAAGCCCAGCCTGTTTGGCTACTTTATTGTTCAGTGTGTAGCACACACCAAAAAAAAAAAGTTTAATTGAGTAATCAAGTATGATGCGAAGTTGTTGCCATCATTCCTGGGACCCAAAATGTTTGAAGCCTCTTTCTTTAACACCTCTTAGCCTGTTCCTAGCTTGGTGCCTTTTAGCGGTCAGATTCCTGTATCTGGGATGCTTATTATTCAGTCAAAGCAGTACCTGTTTTTAAAAATTGTTCCTGGGACACGGGCCGGTTCTCAGATTCTTCTCAGGAGGTCGCGAGAAAGAGATAAATAATGCTGAAGATTAAAAAAAAAATACTTTTACTGATATAGCAACTTGCTCATTACTATCAATCTCTTTCTCTGCAATGCATGTCTATTGAAGAGTGTTGGGTATATTTTGGGCAATTCACATAAGCTAGTGGTAGACAAGTAAATACTATGCCCAAAGCATGGAGGAAGGGGAAATGTTTATCAAAGAAAGTTTCCGTAAAAACAATTTGTAACTTTGCGCTCTAAAAAGTCTCCTAAGGCTACAGCCATTACATACTATACACACCTAAGATTAAGTCTTGCTGAATCCCAGTGAAAAGAAAAACAAACAGACTTCAATAGGAACCGACACATTGAGATCTCAGAAGTAGGCAATATATGCACCATTTTCAATTCCCGTCGTTCTCTTCACTTTCAAGTGCAGCTGATGGTGTGAGGTAGGGAGTCTTGTTCCAGATCCAACATCTAGAGAATCACACATTGCTGGTTTATAAAATGTTTGAGTTAGGACAATGCTGTGTTTAAGCTAGGGAAAATCAACCTGGTGCCCTCTTTTAGCTAAGGGCTAATGTAAGCCAAAGTTCAAACATCTATATTATTGTACTACAATGCGGACCCCATTTTTATAGTGCTTCAGTTGGAATTATTTTTTATAGAAATGTCTCCTGTTAAAGGGTACCAACACAGGCTTTTGGGCACTATATAGATTTGTGCAGTGATGGCTTGTTCAATAAATCATGGTTAAATAAAGCATAGTTCAGGGCATTTCATAAATAGCAATAGCACTTAGACTTATATATCACTTTATAGTGCTTTACAGCCCTCTCTAAGCAGTTTACAGAGTCAGTCTATTGCCCCCAGCAATCTGGGTCCTCATTTGACCCACCTCGGAAGGAGGGAAGGCTGAGTCAACCTTGAGCCTGGTGAGATTCAAATTGCCAAAGTGCAGCCAGCCAGCAGTCAGCAGAAGTAGCCTGCAGTACTGCATTCTAACCACTGCACCATCACGGCACCACCCCTCGGACTAAAGAAGGGCTCGTTAGTGCTCTCTGAGCTTGCTTGTTTCCTTGCAGACATTTCATTACCCTAACTAGGGGACATCATCAGTGCTAGTAAGGAATGTGGTTTGCTGTCAGTTTATATTCTGATATCTTGCCTATCTGTGTGGGTGGGGGCGGTCTTAGGCAGTGGTGATATTCAATTTTTTTTTACTATTGGTTCTGTGGGTGTGGCTTGATGGGTGTGGTGTTGCTTGGTGGGCGTGGCTTGGTGGGCGTGGTAGGGGAAGGATACTGCAAAATCCCATTCCCTCCCAACCCCACTGACCTACTTTCCAGCTCCGTTCTCTTGTGCAGGGCAACCAAAGAAGACCCAGCCAAACAGCTGGGACTCAGGAGGCAGAGAATAGATGGGGGCGGGGCCAGTCAGAGGTGATATTTGCCGGTTCTCTGAACTACTCAAAATTTCCACTACCGGTTCTCCAGAACTGGTCAGAACCTGCTGAATGCCACCTCTGGTCTTAGGGATCCTTTGGTTGGACTGTTTAGTGATGGCTCTTTAGAGGTTTCTTGATTGGGGTATTGTTTACTTAATTGTTAGTCTGAACTTATTCTATGCTGATCTGGGTGCTGGTTACTGGTGGAGAGGTGCTGGAGTCTTTTTGTTCTCTTTTGGGCAGTTCATAGAGTCAGCCAAGGTATTTGAATTGTCTCCTTGTAGAATCGCAGAGGGAGTGATACAGAGAAGCGGAGCCTGGATAGCCGAGGTGACAACACGGGCAGTGGGAGAGCTATACCCATCAAACAGGTAAACCTTCCAGTTTGGCTTGAGCATGGTTTGTCAGTCCTCTTAATGCTTTGCCATAGCAAGGGAAGGCCCAGAGCAATCTTCATTAAGTCTGAAACGCTACCCAGAGATTGCTTCATTTTTTTTCAGGCTTTGGGGGATTTTATTTTATTTTTGTTGCATTCCATTGTGTCTTCCTTCCTGCCCCTCCAATTCAAAGCTGTTTTCTAAAATATCTCTGTTTCTAACTTTGCTTCAGCTTTGTTGCGGCTTTCATTCCTTTGTTAGTTGTTTTTAATTTACGTTGTCTTGGCTTGGTTTTAATCTTACTGTTTTCTTGTACTGTGTGTATGCTGTCCCAGCCGCTTTGATATTTTAAGGTGAACAAAACAAAGGGAAGTGTAGCTTGGCTAATGACCATTATGTCTCCTGGTAGAGCTTCTTGCTGAAACGAAGTGGGAATTCCCTGAATAAGGAGTGGAAGAAAAAGTATGTCACTCTGTCCAGTAATGGTCTTCTCTTCTATCATCCCAGCATTAATGTAAGTTCCTTGTCAGTAGAACAGAGTATGATATGTGTACAGGGGTGGGATTCAATTTTTTTAACAACCGATTCTGTGGGCATGGCTTAGGTGGTGGGCATGGCTTGGTGGTCATGTGACTGGGTGGACATGGCTTGGTGGTCATGTGATTGGCTGGGCGTGGCCAACTCAGTATCACTCACCTCGAGGCACGCATCTCCTCACCTGGCCTCTCGTGACTGTAGGGATTCTGCAACAGTCGTAAGTGTGAAAAATGATCATAAGTCACTTTTTCCAGTGCCATTGTAACTTTGAATGGTCACTCCACATGAGCAAAGTACCAGCAAAGGAGGGGAAAAAAACTCCAGAGACATTCCTGAGACAGGAAGTCTAGTCCTACCAAGAATGTAATAAGGGATAATGGAGAGGCAGTTTCTGTAAGCAACACCAGAATGTTTCCTTCCTGCCTTCCTTACAGGATTAGGCCAGTAATTTCTTCGAACAACCGGTTCTCCAAACTGCTTAGAATGTTAACAACCGGTTCTAGCGAATAGGTGCGAACCTGTAGAATCCCACCCCTGCATGTGTCCCTAGATGATCTGATCTGATTCACAGAATAAACAAATTGGTAGGATTTTGATAGGAACCCTTGGGAGAAAAACACGGCCTTTGATGTAAACTGGCTGGTTTCAGCTACAGGATGTATCCATGCCCATTATTTTCCTGCCAGGAAGAAAGCTACTACAACCTTGTAAACAGCCTTTCCTTAGCATAGCGCCATTTAGTATTGGACTTCAGTTACCATAAAGTCTGGCCAGCCTATTTAAGCTATATTCATCATGAAGGATTGGTGTTGTATTCCCCAGTATTGATTCTCATTGTATTCCATGGGAATTTGGGGACAGGTTTATCCAAAGCAAGCACTCTTTTAGAGGAAAGTAACCACAAATATATGACCATATGCTCCATTTCATGGATCCCTTAAGCCAAAACTGACTGAGGAATACAGTGAAAAATCTTTGATTTGTGAAATGTGCAAGATGTCGTTTGGATTTTACTCCTCTCCCCGGATCTACTTCCTTCCACCTATTTCATTTGATGCCAAACCTCATGATAGCTGGGAATTGTGGAAGTTGTAATCAAATACATCCAAATGGACAGAGAAAAGAAACGATTGTTCTGGGGCTTGTTGGGGGGGGGGGGGGGGGTTGTGCATGGTAATTGCCCTAAATGAGTGTGAATAGCATCTGACATGACCTGGACAGAAATACAGGTTTGAGACACCTTCTCAGGTGAACCATAAAATCAGGCTGGTTAAGAACTCCAGAATAAGACCATTTCAAAGCCCATGTTTGGCTTCCTAAGTTTTCCCACCTCTTCTTCCTACCTCCCCAGGATTATATCCATGGAACCCATGGGAAAGAAATGGACCTCCTTCGGACCACTGTAAAAGTACCTGGCAAACGCCCACCCAGAGCCATCTCTGCCTGCGGTGCCTCCTCAAGTATCAACGGCCTGGTGAAAGACATGAGCAGCGTTGGAGTTGGGGACAGCAGTAGTAAGTGATCTGTGCTATCTCAGGCAAAGTAGACATAGGGAGAGAGAGAGAGGAGGACCCAGGTGCTGGCTGGCATCACTACTGTGGGAAGGGCTGCCAAGCTGAGTGGCAGAGCCCTCTTATTGTGACGGTAGGAACTAAGACCCTGGTAAAACAGCCCAGGGAGGAATACTACGAGCTGTTTGCCAGCCTAGGTGTCTATATAATTACTGTTTGCGAATTCACACTGTGATTCATTGCGATGCCTTCGTTTACAGTTTTTTTTGTGTAAGAGTAAGGAGGGAGAGTCCCCGCACCCTTTCTCCTCCTCTCCTCCTTTTGCACTACAATGTGCCAATAGTCACACTTTTCTTTAACCTTACGTGGCGACAGCCCAGAAGAATATGATAGAAAGAATGTATGAAGAACAACAGGTGGTGCTTTTAAATAAAGCTTGACAGAATTCTGCCTGGGAGAAAGCGGGAAAAGAGAGAGGAAGCAAATATGATTCAGCATGAATCTTTTTTTCCCTAGTATGCCCAGGGTAAGACGTCGTAGCCAACCAGTTTGTATATATGACATCTACACTTTTTTTTTTTTTTTTGTATAACTGCATGTTTATGTGCATATCTGCGACACTACATCCTAGGGAAGATTGTCAATTGTTAGCATCGCACTTTTCTTGAAATGCTTTCTGCTGAAAATGTGATACGGAATGGCACCTCTAAGGACAGCTCCTTTGACTGTTTCCCCTTTCACGCAAATGTGGCAAATGAATGATCCAAAGCCATTGCTCTTCCTGGCTTTTGGCCATTATTGCAGATTTCTCCCACTGTATGGAAAAAAATATAATCAAATAAGCAGTTATTCTGATTAATGTTCAATCTGGACAATTAGCTAAACATCAAACCAAATCAAATTTGACATAAACTTCCTAATGTTTCCTGTTTGAGCTACAACATTGATTGAAGCAAGTGATTGTTCAAATTGAATTCATGAAGCTGGAAAGCCATATGTTACCCTCTAGCTCCGGTGCAGAAACTGTGCACGGTATAATAATCCAAGAGTGACATCTATAGGAGGAGACCTTCCCATTCAGTAGCGGCTGGAATGTTATTTGGGAAAATGAAAAGTCATCTCAAATGACCGCCAGTTTTTGCTGTTTTGTTCATGGGCGGTAAAACTGGGGACTGTTTGGCCATGGATAAGACTGAGCAGTGGGCTCACTCCCCATCAATCTGGCATCAATCTCCGCTTCTCTGCCCTGTGCACTCTAGCATCCACTAAGGCCGGCAGCTCCTCCTCCTCTTCCTCAATGGCCAGCAAGCTCTCCTCAGCCGAGATATGTTCTGCTGGCAGCTCAGAGTCAGCAATTCTGGACAGGCTAGGAATGTTCTCATACTCCCTCAAGGCCTCTGAGGAAGACATGGTTGATCGCCAGGAGATATCACACTTAAAACCTGGCTGTTCCATGAGACTGGAATGATATTCCTGTTCCCTCTGGCGAGGAAGAATATTGGTTTACTGATTGTGATCTTCCTGGGGATTTAAATATATATTTTTTAAATTTTCCTATTATTTGCTCTATTATTATTTTAAATCTAACTATGATTCATTATTTGTTTGCCATCTGAATTTCCAACATGCTGCTTAGAATCAACAAGAGGGGCTTATAAGCCTGAAAAAATAAAATTTAAAGGATGGATGGAGGGGGCTGTGGCAAGAGATAATGCTGGTTTATCTCAACATTATCAGGATGGCAGCTACAAACGTTTCTTCAGACTATCCTTAAAAGAACTAATGAATCCTTTAGTTGCATCCCATGGAATGCTTCCACCAACTGGTAGCCAATGGGAGATGTGTTACTATGGTCACTGGGGAATTGGAAGATGGCTTCAGGCTCAGTCCTAGGTAGGATGAGATTCCTCTGAAGTTCAGCATAAAAGCACTCTTTGATTAACCGCCTCCAGGTTGCTAGTGTCCTCTTCGTCCTTCAGCTCTGGACAAAGAAATTAGAATCCCATTACAAACCTTATCTTACTTCTGTGTGTACGACTTGCATGCAAGAGACCCCTGGTCGCATTCTCCACTTCTCCATCTTAAAAGACCTCCAGTAAATGGGCCATTTAAGATCAAACGTATCTGAGATGTAAAATATGGTAACAAGACCAAAGCAGCTACGTTCTGATTCTAACAGGTCCGCCTGCTTGTTCCTTCTTCTCCATAGCTAGCCCTAGTCCAGGCCTGCTGAATCCTCCAGTTGACCCGGCAGTCAAGCTCTTAGGAAAACCGGAGCGTTTGCAGCGCTCGGTATCTTCTTCCAAAGCTGGTAAGTTCAGAACACAACCAGAAGCCCCACCCCCAACCCTCCCGGAGCGGAGAGGGTACCAGGAAAGGCTAGCCTCTCTCTGATCCGGTGAGAAAGATTAGCCAGAAGACACAACCCATTGTTTCTCCTACCTGTTCCTGCAGAAGTATCCATGGCTGCAGAAGGACTATCCAGTCCTGGCAGCAGTGGCAAAGACCCGCCTCCATCTCCTATGATTGACAGAAAGAAACACAGGCGGAAGAAGCTCACCACACCATCTAAAACTGAGGGATCCGCAGGGCAGGCGGAGGGTAAGAGGCCTCTGCTGCTCATTCATGGTTCGGAAAAGTTGAAAAGAGTCCTTTTTTAAAAAAACAAAACCACAGTTTGGGCTTTTCCACCGGGCACATTAGAACATCGTGGTTTCTAAAAAGGCAGGAAAACTAGAGGGGCATCTCCAGAGGGATTTTCCTCCGCTTTGTGCTCTCTCTCCTTCTTGGGAGTCTGCGCCTGTCAGAACGTTCAGCCGAGACGACCAATGGCCCCGCCAGCTGCGGGGGGGGAGGAGGGGAGGGCGGGATCCCGAGAGATCCTTTTGCTTCTTTTTCTTTTTTTTTAATGCCTATGCATTATAGTGAAATTGTTTTTAATGCAGAAAAGGCTTTTCCCTCCGATGGCAATTAAGGCTGGTCTGCCCTTCATAATGGGTATCTTTAAGATGTCTCTATACAAAGCCAAACAACTAAGACATTGCCCTCAGTGGTGGGATTCACATTTTTTTACTACCGGTTCTGTGGACGTGGCTTGGTGGGCGTGGCGGGGGAAGGAGACTGTAAAATCTCTAGTCAGAGGTGGTGTTTGACGGTTCTCCAAACTACTCAAAATTTCCGCTACCGGTTCTCCAGAACTGGTCAGAACCTGCTGAATAACCACCTCTGATTGCCCTGCTACCATTGACAGTAAACAAAGCCATTTGGGGGGGGCGGTCCTTGATTCCAGATCCTATATCTGCTGGGGTGTCAGGAGAGCGAAGACTCTCTTCTACTGGGCAGATAAGAGAGTCTTGAATTAGGCAACGTATTAGCCAGGTAGTCCTCAGCTTACGAGCGTTCATTCACAGTGACAGTGGCGCTGAAAGACGTGACTTACAACCAGCCCTTCAACTTACGACGGTTGCAGCGTTTTTAACAATCACACGATCCCCATTTCAGCAGTCAGCAAGTGTTCACAACGGTCGCCGTGTCCCCCTGGTCATGCGATCGCCATTTGCAACTTTCCCAGCCAGCTTCTGACAAAGCAAAGTCAATGGAGAAGCTGGATTCACTTTTAACAACCATAGCACAAAAAAATAATAATTGTAAAATCAGGTGCGACTGCATTGCTTAGCAACTGAAGCTCCGGTCCCAATAGTGGTTGTAAGTCAAGGACTATCCATATGTAGTTAGCACTTTAAAAAAAAAAAAAAGAAGTGGGAGGGTCATGTTTGCTTCAGGATCCAGCATTTCCACAGTTCTGGGGTTTGCACTGGATCCTGTCTCTCGGTTGCAGGAAGGGAGGAACGCTTGAACGGTGATCGTTATTGCCTGAATTGAAACATAACCAAGATGGTTGGGGTGCCAGAGGCGCAGAAGTCAAAGAATGCCTCCCAATGTTTATTCAAAGATTGTTTTCATCAAGCCTGACTGGGTGAGGGGAAAAGTAGCATGGGAGTCAGTGAGGGGAATTCAGTGAGGAGCATCTTAACCGAGGCTGTGGGAAGGCCATGCTGCCTCTTGCAACCCCTGGAAAGGAAAGGAACGGTCCTCTCCTTTCGAGGAGGGGTTGGGCCATGGTCAGAGGAGTGGCCCATTCCCAGCCTTTTCTCTTAGCTCTGTCTGCACTAAGCAGCTGTTGCAAACCTTTCACTTCCGCTCTGAGTCTGCACCACACAAGGCCGTGCCCTTCACAGCTTTCTCCCTCACTGTCCCTCGCAGTGCTTCACGCATCCACCACCACCACTCCACTGGCACCCGAATCCAGGGGTCTGGGAGTTCTGATAGCCTCTGCTTTTTTTTTTTTTTTTTTAAATTATTTTCCTTTTCCTCCTCTGAACTCTCTCCCCTTTCTTCTTTTCCTCCCTTCTCTTTCTCTGCCTCTCGCTTCCTGCTTCCCCTCCGGACCCACTGCAGCCAAGCGTAAAATGTGGAAATTAAAAACCTTTGGTAGTTTAAGAAATATTTATAAAACAGGTAATGAGCGTCGGTGGCAGGTGTGGGCTCTTTTTTTTTCTGTGTGTGCCATGGCACCCATTGCATGCAGTTGTGCTTACTTTGTGACGTGCGCCCTGCTTTGATGTCTGACCCTGATGCTCAAGGGATATCCCTTCTTGCTTCTTGGTTAACCATCCCCAGGCCAACAAGTGTGTGTACAATTGATCCCCCCCCCCCCCCCCCTACCTCCCTTTCCCCCCAAAAGGGTTAAGTTCCCAGAATTCCTTCAGAATGGGAGTTTTTGAACTGATTCTGAAACTCGGTCAGAACCCCTTTGGGAGGAATATCAGTCAGATCATCAGATGAACCCCAAAAGTGCAAATAAACAGGGCCATAAACATCAGTAGATTCCCTGGAAGGCAACTTTTCCAGTACTATTAGGGTCTCCTACTGAGTGCAGCCGGAAGGTTGTGTTCTAGCTCAGAGTACTTTCCCAACATGTGCATATGACGATAGCAATAGCAATAGACTTATGTACCGCTTCACAGTGCTTTTACAGCCCTCTCTAAGCGGTTTACAGAGTCAGCCTATTGCTCCCACAATCTGAGTCCTCATTTTACCCACTTCGGAAGGTTGGAAAGCTGAGTCGATCTTGAGCCAATGAGGTTCAAACTGCCGAATTGCAGTCAGCAAAAGTAGTCTGCAGAACTGCATTCTAACCACTGTGCCATCCCAGCTCAACAGACCCATTTGTATTTCACACTGTTTGCTGGAGAATATAGGGCTCCACATTTTTTTTGCGGTGCACAAGCAGGCTCCTTGAAAGACAAATGGGTATAGAAAGAAGAGTCCAGAACCCTAGAGAGTCTTTCCCTGTTTGTATTTATTAACGATAGGGTCATGAATTCTTTAGACTGCCACAATTCAGTAGGTTGGTTAACTTGGTTTGGTAGTCAGATGTGTTTGGTAGTCAGATGTGTTGGTAGTCAGACTACCAAACCAAGTTAACCAACCTACTCCTAGACCCCACATACAAACCCCTAAAGACAGACCCCACCACCTACCTAGAAAAAACCACCAGATCCAAAATAAAAGCCTCCCCCATCAGTGAAGAAATCCAGCAAAGAATCATACCCAGAGAGAAATCATCCAGATGCCCTAAGCTTTATGGTCTCCCCAAGATACACAAAGAAGGAACTCCACTTAGACCAATAGTCAGCTCCATAGGCTCACCTCTACAAAACCTAGCCAAATTTCTCGCCAAACAACTACAGCCCTATGCAGAATCCATCAACTCACATGTAAGAAACTCATTCCAGTTCATCGAGATCATAAAGAAACAAAACTTACAACCCAGCGACCTACTAGTTAGCTTCGATGTCATATCCCTCTTCACCCAAGTGCCAATAAAAGAAGCCTTGACAGCCATCCAAAACAAATACAACCCCCCCAAGCACATCCTAGATCTGACCAACCACTGTCTATCCAATACATACTTCACCTACAATGGACAAAAATACAAACAAATAGAAGGAGCACCCATGGGATCACCCCTCTCACCTGTCATCGCAAACCTCTACATGGAACACTTTGAAACACAAGCTCTAGAAAAATATGATCACAAACCCAAACTCTGGCTCAGATACGTAGATGACACCTTCATAATCTGGCCACACGGGAAAGAAAAACTGAACAACTTCCTCACACACCTCAACAGCCTACACCCCAAAATACAATTCACCATGGAAACAGAAGCTAACAATCAACTTCCCTTCCTAGATGTCTTGGTATACAAAAAACCCAATGGCTCCCTAGGACACACCATCTACCAAAAGAAAACACATACAAACCGCTATCTACACGCACTCTCACACCACCACCCAGCACAGATCAATTCCGTAGCTGAGACACTCATCTCCAGAACAAAATGCTTAGCTGATGAACAACACCTAAAAACCGAACTAAACACTCTCACCAACGTACTAACAGCCAATGGATTTCAAAGAAAGAAGATCACCCACCTAATCCAAAAAGAAACCCCAACCAAAATCCAAGACAGAGAACAAGAGAACGGCAAAGCCCTCCTCCCATATATAAAAGGCACTACAGACAAAATCAGCAAGATCCTCCAAAAACACAACATTAAAACAGCATTCTGCACAAACAGAAAAATATCCACCATCCTAAGAAACCCTAAAGACAAAATCGAGTTAGAAAACCAAGGAGTATATGAAATCCCCTGCACTGCCTGCCTCACCACATACATTGGACAAACTAACAGAAGAATAAGTGCACGCGTTGAAGAACATAAGAACTCAATCAAAAAAGAAGAACC